TGCTGGGGGGTGGCCAGAAGAAGCAGCAGCTTCTCAGGGAGGTGTAAACACCCCATCCTGGATGTCCCTGCAGCGGCTGCTGCCACAGGGGATTGGGAATGTCTGGCAGTGACCCCACACCCCTCAGTGAGCAGGGGACTTGGCTGGTGCTCTGCTCTTGCCCCTGTGGGTGCTGAGGTTGCCCAGGGATGCCCTGGGCCTCCTGGGCTGGGCTGTGCCCTGGCAAGGGGGCTGCCTGCCCATCCCACCTTCAGGGGAACCCCCCACCCCACCCTCTTGCACACAGGGAACGTGCAGCTCCCCAGGGACATCCCCAGTGTCTTCCCTACCCACCAGGCAGTGCACAAGCCTCACCCTCAGCACACCCTGCAAGCTGCTCACACACAGCACCCCTCATCCCTCCCATCCATCCAAATCCAAAGGACTCCCCAGGGTCCCTCTGTGCTTCTTGCCCGCCCTTCCTGCAGGAATCATGTAAATTAATGGTGCAAGTCAGAAGGGACCTTAAAGATCATCTAGTTCCAAGCCTGCCACAGGCAGGGACAACTCCCACCAGGTCAGGTTGCTCCAAGCCCCATCCAACCCAGCCTTGGACACTTCCAGGAATGGGGCAGCCACGACTGCTCCAGCTGGCATCACAAGACACCCCATGATACTCTTCCCCTGTCCATCCCCACCACCCAGAAACCTGCTCTGCAAACAACAGCCCTGCCCCACACATCTGCTGAGCAGCAGCCAGGCACACTCAGGGTAGCTGAAAAGAAAAAAAACAATAAGAAAATGTTTTAAGAGCCCTTAATCACATCAATCCTGAGCTCCTTTGGCCGAGGGCTCCTCCCTGGGTGCAGCCTCACCACAGACTGCCCCACTCTCTGCTTGGCCATGAGGCTCCCCTTTTTGACCCAGGATCTCACACATGCATTGCCAGGAACCCCCAGACCAGCCAGGTGAGGAAGAGGAAGGATTGGGCCCTCTGCAGCAAGATAACACAGGAACATCTGCAGAAACGTTGTGGGATCATGTCCCCAACCTCAGCCAGACACCCAGAGCCCACCAGCTCACCATGGTGCCCACCTGCTGCATCTCTAACTTGGCTCCTACAATTAGCCTTACAACAGACATGGGTGTAGCTGGGGGGGTTTCAGCAAGGCCCCCAGCTCTGCCACCAACACACTGCAAGGACAGAGTGGAGCAGGGGTGGGCAGATCCCTCTCAAAATGCCCCTCAGGCCACCAGCAAGCCAAGCCAGAGGGACCCTGGGCTTTCATTCTGGGCAGCAAGGAGGCCACGCCAGCCACTGACTAATTGCAGTCCTTCCAGTTAATTCCAGGTGAGACACTATCCTAAACGAATCGATGATGATTTGTGGCTCGTCCCCTTTGCCACCTCCTCCTCCTCCTCCCCACCACCAGCGTGGCAGCAGAAGCAATGCCACTCTTCCCACCTTTCAACCCTTTAAGCTGCTCTTAATTAAGCTCAAGGCTGGGCTGATCGCCAGGAACAGCTCCTGAGCCCTGCAGAGCTCCTGCCTCTGCTTCCCCCCAACCCTGGCCCTCCCACCCCTCTCCCACCCCCCCTGAGCTTCTGCCCATCCCTCCCCCCAGCCCAGATCATCAGGCTGGTACCCAGAGGCCAGGGAGGATGGGGAAGGCTGGACCCAGCGCTCCCAGCACCCCAGAGACACCACGCCAGGTGCCAGTGGTCAAGAGGGTGGAAGGCAGCCTTCCTCCCATCCTCTGGAAGCAGGGATGTGCACCTTACCTGGAAAGCTCACCCAGGGCCACGGGCAATTCCCCTGCACCCAGGGCTCACCCTCAGCTCTGCTCTATCTCCTCTGCTGCAGGATGACCCCGCTGGGAGCCTCTCCTGCTCAGACAGTGCTAAGGGATGGGATATTTATGAGAAAGCAGCTCCTTAAGAGAAGATGGAAAGCGAAAAAAAAAAAAAAAAAAGAAAAGAAGTCCCTGGCCGTGCCAGGAGATGCAGGCACCGTTTCCCAGGATGTTTATTGCAGTTCCCATCTCGACCCTCACCCCAGCGCTGCCGGGCTGGGTGAGTCAGGGGGAAGCGGGGCTGGTGCCCGCATGATTCAACGTGGCACAGAGATTTCAGAGCCAGCCACGGTGGGCTTGAGATTAGGAGGGTTGTGTTCTTTTCTTTGTGAATGAAGGCAACCCGAGAAGGCAGCCAGCACCAGGAGGGTGTCTGGGTTTCACACAGACAGGCTGAACCCCCCACCTTCTCCTCGCTCTGACTGCCACCCAAACCTGCTCCTGGCTTCTTCTTCTCCCCCTCCCGGCTTCTTTTCCCCCTCCCGGCTTCTTCTCCCCCTCCCAGCCCTGCAGGGCAGGGCATCGCATCACCACAGACACCGGGCTACCCCTTTCTTTTCCCCAGGGGAGCCCCCCCCACCCCAATAAATATCCCCTTCCCCGCAGGGTCAGGGCTGCCGCTCCGGCATTGCCATCTAGTGGCTGCTGCCCCATCCCTGCAGCCCCCCCGAAACCTGCAGGTGGGGGGGGGGGGAACCCCGAGACAGCCCCTGGACCTGCCCTTCCCTCCCCCTGCACCCACTGGGGTGCTGGGAAGCAGATGCACAAAGTCCCCCCACTCCAGCTGCAGCATCCCTCGGCACTGCCCTCCTGCCACTCGGAGCAGGCTCACCCCCCCAAATTCCCTACCTATGCGTGGCTGGGCACAAGGAATGTTGACAAAAGCATCCTCTGCCCAGCCCTGGGATGCTCAGAAAGCTGGAGGCTGCTCCTCGTTCTCAGGGGCATCATCAGGGCAGGGGAATGATCACTCAAGCAGCCCGGGCAGGTTCTGGAGAGTGGACACAAGCTCTGCCTTCAGTGACTGATATTCCCAGTGACTGATATTCCCAGAAGCTCTGATGAGCTGCACTCATCTTCGAAAGTGGCTTTTGGCATCCTTATGCAATTTTTTTTTTTAAAGAAAGCTTTACCTATGCTAAAAGGGAAATAAATAACTAAATCTCAGCATCCAACGGGAATGGTCTCGGTGCTCTGGCCAAGTTTCAAGCAGGGACTGGGTGGCTGTGACTCAGAAGGATGTTGATAACCATGCAGGGGGAGAAGTTTTCTCTCCAGAAACACGTTCATGACCTGCTGGGTTAGGAAGAGGTGCCACTGGCAAAGGGGAAGCCCTGCCAAGCCAGGCAAAGTCCCCAGGGTGGTGCAGCTCACCCAGGATGCAGGTGGAGAAGGTCCAGGCAGCTCCAGGATGGCATCCCCCAAAGGGATG